AGTGTATAGACATTGCTACCAATCTTGTTGATGACAAACAAATTTCTGCAGCAGCGGCTACTACGGGCAGTATAAAACAATGTCATAAATTTCAATCAAATTCTAAACCACAGTTTAATAGGGAATGCAAATTGGTACGTAACAAGTATCATAAAAGCCAAAAAATGCAATATGGTAAACATCACTGTGTCCAGAATAGTTCGGCCTTTTTACAATTTGGTAAACAATATAGTAGAATTCTTATTTTTTTTAATAAAACCTATGAACGCAAATGCACAAATACCCTAAGGGAAACAATAGATAGCAATCCTAAAGAGTTTGGGACTTTGTTTTAACAAAAAGCTCGAAAAGCCTTCAACTGATGTAAGTTATATGAATATTTTAAAGGGTTGAACGAGTGGGAGTTTGATGAGGTTTAGTACCTCTATGGTTTTAATTGATCAAGGAAATATTTCCCACTGTGGCCTGTGGTCATTTTGCGTGTCCCTGAGTGGCACTTGTGTGCAGTAAGCCGCGACTGATAAGGTGTTAGGTCATTTCTTTCCCAATATTTCTGTAAACATCCAAATATTGAACAATTTGTTTATCTAATGAAATGTGAATACTCACCACTTAATTCTAAAGTTGCTAAAATTATCAAAACTGGACTTTAAAATTTGTTCAATGTTTTAATATGTATCAATTTGCTGTATGTTCTCTGTGTCACTATATTTAGTGATTTTAGAATAAAATTTCTGTTTTGTTTTGTTCTGGTGCTTGATTAAGAACCTTGGCGCCAACAATCCTCAAGAACGCTCCCAAACAAGTCCTTTTGTCGCTTCCAATAATGTTTATGACTGTAACTGGCTTACTTGCCCATTATGACTTAAAGACACCCATTACCAGCTTTAGCTTTAACAGCTAATACGTACATGCAACAGTGGTAATAAATACGGTTCTTATCAATAAGTCTTTAAACACACATTGACAGGTAAACTTATGTTCCGTGGGTCAGTGAATCTTTGAAGGTGTCATCCATTCCATGTTAATGGTTGGATTTTTGACACTGCTCACAGTAATCCTAATCGGATTAGTAGATATTATATATACACTCGCCGCAGACTATAAGGCAGCATCATTCGATGCCACTCTCTTGGGTCGCCTCAACGTCTTCCAGTGCGCTTTTTGGTGAGTACTTGGCTCAAATTTGTTTATTTATTTTGTTTATCTTTATCAGTTCTTTATACATATTAAGCAATTTGTCGGGACCGAAAAAACAGCACGCAATAGGCGCGTTCGTTGTATTAATACAGCATTATTTCGGCAATATAACGTCCATCTGTAAATAATCGAGTCTGGGTCAGACAATCTTGTGACTGAAATCGATCGATTAGCGTCGATCTACGTAAATTGGGATATGATGACATGTGTCAACCAAGACAGCGAGCCTGACCACCCGACCCGTTAGTCGCCTCTTGCGATAAGCAAGGTTTTCTTAAGGCCAATTCTTACCCGGAATCGTCACGGCCACATATTTACATTAACGTTCATTAAAACATGAACGTCTGTTAGAAATACGTATATTGGGGATCGTTTTGCAGTAATTAAAAAGAACGAGTGAGTGAGTGAGTTTAGTTTTACGCCGCACAGAGTAATATGCCACCTATATGGCGGCGGTCTGTAAATAATCGAGCCTGGACCATACAATCCAGTGATCAACAGCATGAGCATAGATTTGCGCAATTAGGAAAAAGAACGAAACGAACACAAGTACATACTTAGGAACAATGAAATTGAGAGGTGTGGTATTTGGTACCTTCTTCTCTCACCGTTTTAAACCACAGTTGGTTGTAAGTCATATAAAACACATTGCTCTCTTTTGCATTTTTGTCGCAATAAAATGGTCCATGATATTCATTCTTACCTTTTAATGTTTCACCCTCAGGGTTGGTCCTTTCAGGAAGCAGAGTCTGTACTGCAGATTATTCAGGATGGCATCGGAAGGCGAAACCAGACAAGTTTCTTTCTCTCGCGGGTCTGGCGAACTCTCGTTAGGCCCAAGATTTACAAGACGCCGTTCAACGTTCCGAGGAATGGCTCGGTCTGTGATGGAAATGCTGACACTTCATAGGGCCAGCAAAGGAGACCAGAATTCATGTACGCCAAAACGTCTATATGAAAATACATTCAAAATGGAACCCGCTGATGGGAATAACTTTTCTGTGAATGTCGTTGAACGCCAGGTGAGAGGGGTTCTGGAACTTCATTTAGCAGACCGGAAGTACGATGCCTCGGAAGCCAGTGCTCTAACTGAACGCATTACGGAACAGATTAAGGCGATCACAAAAAACTGTAATTTTCCACGTTATAAAATTGTTTGCAAGGTGATGCTGGGACAAAATGGCAGCCAGGATATACAAGTTGCTAGCAGATCGATATGGGACTCAAACACCGACAAATGCGCATGCGTAACGTACAAGAACTCCTCCCTATTTGCCGTGGCATTGGTGTATGGCGTGTACTTTGAATAATAAAGGTTTCAAGAAACCATGACATGTTATTTTAAAAAAAAATAATTTTGGTTTGTGACGTTCGTCAAGTCTGCGAAGGCGTTGGGTAGCCTAATGGTAAAAGTGTCCACTCGTCACGCTAAGGATCCAGGTGAGATTCTCCACATGAGTACAATGCATGAAGCCCATTTCTGGTGTCCCCCGCCCTGATAATGCTGGCATGTTGAGTAATAGCGGCGTAAAACTAACCTCACTCCGCAAGTTTGCTAGCCTAAGAAAGGGGTCTACGTTGTGCAGCGTTAGTCAAATCTCAGCTTGTGGCTTTGTCTGGATGAAATATAGTCATCACTTATAAGATCATCCTCGATAATCTCCAGGGTATACGTTACGATAACTCAACCATACCCTGGATGCATCCACGGCTTGAGGCGATGATTTTATTACCACCATTGGCTGGCTTTTTATCCAATCAGGTGCCTACGCTGGGAAGTTGAGCGTACCAATCACAACTCACTTTCGCTTCTTAAATTATCTAACCGTTTAATGTTGGCAACACAATTGATGCAGAGGTACTCTGAAAGAAGTAGAAGGAGTTCTGTCATATATTTTTTTAAAGTTTCAGATCTGTCAATATGTCTATATTATTTCCCCAAAAATCTGAGTGGCACTGCGAACAAACCTTCGCGACTGCGACCGCTATTTTTGTTGACACTGGCAAGCTCGGGTGTAACGGCGGCTTAGCTGATTGGCTACTGTGAGAATGCGGAGCCAGCCAAGGGAGGTAATAAAATCATCTGGCCAAGCCGTTTATGCATCCAGGGTATAGTGGAGAGTTATCGTAACCTATACCCTGGAGATTATCGAGGATGGTATAAGATATGCTTCTGAAAGACGTGCACTCAAAATATGCACTGTAACAGTAACTACGTCCATAACGAACACGCTTTAAACGAACTAATGGGTATAACTAGCTGTTTATTGTCACCTCCAGTTGCTGAAAGATTTTTGTCGCATAACGAACTACGCTTATAACGAACTGAATTAATGGTCTCTTTGTGTTATTGTATTCCTTGCTTGGGATAGTACACAGTGTTAAAAGCTTGGTACAGTCAGCCACTGTTGTTGGGCCTATATACACTGTAAATCGCTCTCTGTGGTCCGACCCGTGAAGATCCGGGTAAGAATTGGTCTCAGTAACCTCTGCTTGTCGTAAGAGACGACTAACGGGATCGGATGCATGGTCAGGCTCGCTGACTTGGTTGACACATATCATCGTATTCCAATTGTGTAGATCGATGCTCATGCTGTTGATCACTGGATTATTTACACACCGCAGCTATAAAGCTGGAATATTGAGTGCAGTGTTAAACAACCAACCAACCAACTCTATGGCCCAGTGGATACAGCGTCCACTTGGAGAAAGCAAGACCAGTGGTTCGATTCCCTGGACCCGTCACACCAAAATACGTGAAAAGATGAATCTTGTTGTTACCTTGCCTGACTTTCGGCTCTAAGAGGATAACACAAGGACTGGTCAGCGCAGGGTCAGTATAAAGCAGTGGCGGATCCAAAGGGTGGGGTGGGGGTCAGGTGTTGGTTTTTTAGGACCCCCCCCTCTCTCTCTCTCTCTGTTGTTTTTAGGACCCCCTCTCTCTCTCTCTCTCTCTCTCTGAAACTTATGACCACATTGAAAAAAAATAATCCGTTGGCGGAGCCAAGGGGGGTTCCGGGGTTTTAGAATTCCTGGATCCGCCCATGTTAAGTGTCCGGGGAAGGTATCTATACACAAAGAACTTTATTAAGCACCTCGGCATTTTTATAATGATTGTTTTCAACACCTAACTAAAACTTCTCGTGGTGATCACGATGGAAAAACATGAATTTTTCTGACCTTTGACTCATAAAAAATGACAAAATGATTGGAATCCATGTTGATTTTATGATAATAATTGCTCATTTAAAAAAAAACCCAACAGGCTCGCCGACTTTCGTAGATTAATACTCATTATGTCAATCACTAGATTATTTGGTCCAGACTCTATTATATACAGACTGTCGTCATATAGCTTGAGTGCGACGTTAAACAAAAAACCAACTTCAAAATAGCTCGAATTAGCGGTCTCGGTCCACAGTTTATATATAGTTTAAATTTATTTACAACATTCGTTGTTATCATTTGTGTCTATATTATCAAAACAAACGTTTGAATAATTTGAATCCGGTTTTGAATATCCAATTCACTAAAATATATTTGTAAAATATTTTAAAATGGGAAATCATTGATCGTATCAAATGTTAATGGTGAGATTGCTTTACTGTCAAGATATCACAACTTTCATATTTATATCAATTAATTAATTAATTAATTTTTAATGGAACATTATAATTAATAATGCAAAGCCTTGTGTATTTTCAGTAATTAATAATCTGTGAGCGTGACATATTTTACATGGGTTTCATGCAATAACAGCCCGCCTTCGCGTGCTTCTATACATACAAAGGGGGGTAACTCTCATTACTCACACTCGTACTGGATTTGGCGCGGGAACAACACGACCAGAAGAGAGGGTGTTGAGTCCACGCCGAGACGATTCAAAGGTTTGGAATATTTTATAGGTGTACTATTTATAGTCTCAGTGTCTCCAAACACAGTGTTGTTTATGCGTTCGACGTAATCACTCAGATTCAGATTAGACGCATATGCTGACTTTGTCATCTGTGTCAGTACGTGTACTCCCTCCGAGAGCCGTGATGCGGTCCTATACAGTCAAAGGTCCTGTCTGTATCTACACATTCATAGAATACGTGTAAAATATTATATATGCTTTGGAGGTCGCCTTCGCTAGCTGGCATTTCGGCAGTGTAAAATATCGGAGGGACATTTATGACCGGAAGTGACGTCACGATCCCGGATTTTGTTAACAGCCCACCCCCATTCACACACAAACCATCACAACCGCCCGCCCCTCAAACGCACATTCGCACACACGCACGGAGTGCATCCTTTTTGTTAAAAGCCAAGATCAACGGTTGTCAAGAAGATACTCAAGTTGGGTCCTGCCCAATGAGCAGGAGGGGAATCCCCCCGCACTGCAAGGAAACTCCGTTGTTTTCATTTCCGGGAATCGAAAGTAAAAGGAGACACCTCACCCAGTCATAATATTTAACGTAATAAGACTAGCATAACATCGTCCTCTGGGCACAAATACTCACCAGACCTGAATAAAATAGTACTGTCAAAGTAGTTCATTCAATATCCTGTAGTCAGAAATAGTCAGAGTTTTACGCCGCACTCAGCAATATTACAGCTATTAATGGCGGTCTGTAAGTAATCTAGTCTGGACCAGACAATCCAGTGAACAACAGCATGAGCATCGATCTACGCAATTGGGAACCAATGAACATGTGTGTGTGCGTGCGTGTGCGCGCGTGTGTTGGGGGTGGTGGGGGTTGGGGGAGCTAGTACCGGGACACAGTCATGACATACATCCTGCTGGGAAACGCCCGCGAGTATGCTTATATTTTTTTTGCTGAATATCGATTAGTCTCTCAGGGCAATCAATAATCGCTGGAATTCATTCGCTCGCTATGCTCACCTCGTCTGCTTGGTCACAGCGGAGAGGTGATTGTGTAATATGCTCTCGCTGCTACTTCTTATCCTCACTTCTCGCGTCACCACCGAACTCGCCTGTCGCGCACAGCTATCAACAACAGTGTGAATACAGTGTGAATATAGAAAACCTTTTAGAAAGTAATCGAATGTAACGGAAACTATCGCAACACACAATGTATTATAATACATTGATTTTACGTATGTTCGTGCTACGATCGAAGGTGAGCATCGGGTGCAATGCATCGTTAAGAAAATATCAAGTTTCACTCAACTGTATTTTTATCTCGTTAACTAGGAAAATTAATTGATCTCGTTGTTAATAAACAATATAGGGTCTCAACTGACAACATTTCAAAGAGACAAGTTATTGTGTAGAATGCTGGCATGTCATTGAGGGCTATAGCGAGAGATGTTGGTTGTGATCCATCGACTATCAGCTAATGACGTTAGGGACGGATCTCAGTGTTCAGGTCGACCACGAGAGACAGCAACTCAACAGGAGGATACACAAAACTTCATGTCAACAGAGTGGCTTCCACATCATTGTTTGTCAAACAGAACGGTCCGTAATCGCGTAAAATAGGTCGGGTATCTATCTAGAGCCTATCAGACGTTCGTTGTTATCCCACAGCACAAAGCAGCCTGACTATAGTTTAGGAAATAAAGTTCGCTCTACCCCAATGTGTTTTGTAATAGGTGTAATAGATAGGACTACCGTCCTCGTGCTTTAATTATAATAGTTCAGGGCAAAACTATACTTTATTACAAAACACATTGGGGTAGAGCGAACTTTACATCTTTTCTAAGATGCTAAATTTAATACTTTCTAAGGATAATTACGATTAATTTAAGGCAGAAAACAAACGACGGTGTCGGTGGCCTAAGTTAAGAATCCTCGCACAGGGCTAACTGGTGCGCTGTTCTATTGATGTGTCAGCTCCCCTACGTTAAGACGAACGTTACCAGAAAAAAACAAATGATAACAGTTTGATGACGGTTTACGTTCGGATTAAATATCTTCTCTGAATTATTTTAATTACATCTGTCATTAACGTAAACCATATGGGGCAATATGAACGTCGCATTTCTACTACCAACGTAAGTTTAGATCAGTACATCCAGATGAAGCTGAGTAGTCAAGCGACATTCCACGATTGCATTGTGGGTATGTAAACATTGCGAACGTTACCGTGTCGCCGAAAACGTGTGAGTCGAATTGACACAATTTAACCGTCGTAAAACATAAACGTAATGTTTCCACCAGTGATGTTAGCTGCGTGAAGCAAATGCAAACCAAGAAACGGGATGCAACGGAGTAGTTTACTGTAGGAGGCCGTACGAGGCGATGACAACTGACATGCATCGTGACGTCACTTACATTGTGACGTAATGTAAAATAATTCGATTACGAGGGGGCACACTAGAATGGCGCAGTGACGGGAAAACGTCATTCAATTGTTACGTCATCAAAAAACTATACCTTTATTGTCTGATAATGTATTTTTTTTCCGATTGTTCTAACCGCTAGGCATCTTAGAATTGGCATGAAATGCATGTGGACCCTTTTTTTTGTAAATATCTCTTCATCCAATGACCCAATCGATCTCAAACTGTGCAAGTGGATGTTTTGTCAGACAACCTAATCACATTGTAAATCACCGATTTTATGCATTTGTATTAAAGAATCTGTCTATGTAATTGTCAACAAAATAAACAGCAGAACGCAGGCGGCTTGCAGAGGGAGGGAGCCAATGACCTGTGACAGCGGCAGTGTTGGGTCATAAAGGTCAACGTTCGTCAATGTAGTTCAGCTATGCTGATGACCCTGATGTCAAAAGAATCTAACTTTGGATGCCTACCTGTTTTGTACAAGATTTTGTTTATTGGTTGTTAGTTTTTTTTTTCACAATTGTTAGCACGATGTTCTTTTTCGAGCAAAAGTTGTACGTTTCATGTAATCCGACACCTTATAAATCGGTTTGCAAAGTTTGCTCTCTTTTTAAAAAATAATAAACACATTGCTAATTATACCCCCCTTCCGGTCTCGTTGCCATGGTTTCCTTTGTTAAAAGTGTAGGTGTATTGACCGGTACACCTGTCAAAAGTGTAGGTGTATCAATGATACACTAGGGTATACCGAAGCAATAAAGACACAACAAACGGCGAAATATAATTTTATTTCAATGGACTCACATTGAGATTTCGATTGTTTCAAAATCTTCCTTATCATCCAGGTCGAAATGTGACGCTAACGAACTGTCAATTTGAGAAAGAAAATCCTCTGTCCACTCTTCAGCATCCATGGCGAACGAACGTGTGATCTTCCAAATGTTTTCTATGCCACATGCGAGTCAGAGAACGCATGCGCATTGGTCTGTCCATACAAATGTCAATTATCGGTAATATTGCGCATATCTGGGGCTACTTGAAGTCATTCTCGCGCCCGAACTGGTGTTTAAAATCGTGTGAAATCGTGCAAGCCCGTGCATGCACGTGCAATCGACTGCTTATAGTCTGTTTGTAGTGAAAACGTACCGATGAATATCACTTTAAAAAAGTAAATCAAATAAAGTGAAACTAAGATTGCAAATCCCCATAATTTTACCTTGCCTATTGAACATTTAAATCTCAGAATTATATTCAGCTTAGGATAAAAGTTGTTTAACAAACGATCATAGTTTCAAAGCGCTGTTATTGGTTTGTATTACAATGGGGTATGCGCATTAAATGAAACACCCAGAACATGCAGGTTTGGTAGAAGTTAACGCTTGTTACGTACCGCACGGGCATTTGTTTCACTGTTCCAACTACTGCGCTTACCCCCCTAAAATTGTAATACAAACCAATAATATTGATTTGAAACTATGATCATTTATTAAACAAATTTTATTCTAAGTTGAATATAATTCTGAGATGTTCATTTGGCAAGGTCAAATTATGAGATTCGCAATCTTAATTTCACTAATTTGAGTACTTTTTGTTTAAAGTGAAATTGATCGGTAGGTTTCACTGCAAACAGACTATAGACGCGGGACATTTGAGGGTCTTAACCAGTGGGCTAAAAATAAATGAAACAGATGGAAAAGAAATAACTTTTTTGGTCATAATTAGAACATAAAGTGTTATAATAAACTCGTAACTCGACCCGAAGTGAGGTATAAGTCAGATGTACCCACACTTCCTCGGTGTGTCGCCAAATACCCCTACTGTTTGAGTCGTGTGGTCTCCTCGGCTAACGCCTCGGAGGCCACACGAATCAAACAGTAGGGGTATTGAGCGGCACACCTCGGAAAGTGTGGGTATATCTAATACTTAAACGTTTAGCATCATCTGAATAAGCTTTCATGATGACAGCTAGAAGTAGTCAATGTGAATGATCCAAACGGTCTATCACTGTGCAGTGCACAGGTAACTATCATGAACTGCACGTGCATTTATGACCCAACACTACCGCTGTTACAGGTCATTGGCTCCCTCCCTCTGCAAGCCTTCTGCGTTCTGCTGTTTATTTTGTTGACAGTTACATAGACAGATTCTTTAATACAAATGCATAAAATCGGTGATTTACAATGTGATTAGGTTGTCTGACAAAACATCCACTTGCACAGTTTGAGATCGATTGGGTCATTGGATGAAGAGATATTTACAAAAAAAGGGTCCACATGCATTTCATGCCAAACTATAGCTTGGTGTCAGTTCGACGCCACTGGAGTGAGTGAGTGATTGAGTATGGTTTTACGCCGCTTTTATCAATATTCCAGCAATATCACACCGGGGACATCTGAAATGGGCTTCACACATTGTACCCTTGTGGGGAATTGAACTTGGGTCTTCGGCGTGACAAACGAACGCTTTAACGACAAGGCAACACCACCGCCCGGACGCCATTGGAACTTGAGGTCATGCATGGACAACGGTACATCACTGACATCCTAGACAGAGTTGTACCATATTTCGATGACCACACACTGGGCCAGTCTTCATGGATGACAATGCTAGGCCACATCATGACGTGCAGGTGCTGATATGTTACAAAAGAGGCGATCGCAACTCTACCAAGACCAATAATCAAATGGAACTTGTTTGAGACATTATGGGTCGCAGATATACCCAAATACAGGGCCCTTATTCTCGAAACGTTCATAGCCCTAAGAATTCGTAACTTTGATCTTAGCCAACGTGTTAAGAGTGGGCTTAAGAAGTTCGTAGGTCTACGAACGTTTCGAGAATAGCTAGCCTGATGTGTTGGAGCAACTCCACGATCAGAATGGAACGCACGTCAAATTCAACGTCTGATACAGTGTTGAGAAGGGTCAGGGATGTTATCGCAGCTGCCGGAAGTAACACCAGATATTGGCATTGGCTCAAATATTGATCCTTTTGTGATTTCGTGAGGACTGTATGCCCGAATCTTGAAAATGATCACATTTGTTAAGGTCATACGACCATGGCATTACAAATGAATATGTTTTTAATGCCATGTATGCCTCTAAGAATAAACTTTTTGGTTGAGATTTGCCTTTTAATTATTCTTGAGGGTCAATGTATCCAGAAAGTAAGTTAAATTGAGGTTTGGATAAGTTCCTTTGCTATGATTAATGGTAACATATTGATACTATGAACATGGGTGCTGCGATACTTTTTTCCATGTGTATATTTGGGGTAACACTTTATTTATCATTGAAGTACAGATTCTTGTTCGTTTATGAGGTGAGTCACATCCAGATTCTCAGAGAGAGGCATCAAATCGCCATCACACAAGTCAGCGATCTAACCCACTCAGCCAACGCAGCTTCTATGAAAAATGAAGTCTAACATCTTTTCATGTGAATCACATGCTTTGTGTATCCCTCCAACAAGTGTATATTGGTGCCTCTCAGATGACCGAAAGCTATGAATACTGAATACCATTTAGAAAGTGGTCAAATGTAACAGGGGGCGGTGGGGTAGCCAAGTGGTTAAATCGTTCGCTCGTCACGTCGAAGACCCGGGTTGGAGTCCCCACATAGGTACAATGTATGAAGCCCATTTCTGGTGTCTCCCGTCATGATATTGTTGGAATATTGCTAAAAGCGACATAAAGCTAAACACACTCACTCACTCAAATGTAACATAGGGGATACCACGGGTAACACGTGTCAGAGGGACACACAAAGTATGTGATGAAGTATGTCTGTGCCTTGTATTTTCAGAATGGAACCATTCCCCAAGTGTGTGGTGTGCAGCACCTCCTTCAGGTACAGAGGACCACAGCCGCACCTGCTCCCCTGTCTACATCCGGTATGTGAGAACTGCCTCAAGTCATGGGAGCTCAAAACACTAGTGTGTTCTGTTTGCTTGAAGAGCCATGCCATACATGAAGGACAATTCCCTGTCGATGAGGTCACCCGAGCTGATGTCTTCAACTTGACTTCCAAACATCGACCGTCAGAGTTCCTGTGTACGAATGAGGAGGATGGAAACCAGGCTGTGTGTTGGTGTGGCGAGTGTGGCGACTTTCTTTGCGAGCATTGTCAGGTATTGCACGCAGGTATCAAATCAACCAGGAGCCATGCGACAACACTGATTCCTGACCTGCCGGAGAAAGTCAAAGGGTCGCAGACGGAGTGTGACAAGCACGGCCAGAGTCTGAACATTTTTGACGCCCACTGTGACAGCTTCATCTGCTCCCGATGTTTCTACGAAGACCACGTTGGTCACAGTACCATTAACGCTGATATGTTTCTTTCTACTGAAGAAGAGAAGTTGAGTAATTGTTTGAAATCTGCTACTGATAAGAAGGAGGAGATTGACTTGGCAACAAGCGATGTCAATGAGCAAACTCGTATCATTCAAGAGAAAGCCGTATCTCTTAAGGAGACTGTCAAGCACACTTTTTCAGAACTGAAAACTTTGATAGATCAGCGAGAGAAGGAGGTCCTTGTAGAGCTGGATCAGCTTTTAGACTCCATGAGGAACATCAATGACAGTCGTTATCCTGTCCTGAAATCATCAGAGACAAGCTGTCAGACAGTCCTTGACTACATCAAAAAGACTCTCCTCTACGCCTCACCTTCTCATCTCCACAAACTGAAGAGTTCCATCACACAGGCGTGCGAGTCCTGCGTAAGACTTGACGTTCCCTTTGTCCACAAGAACGAGTCATCGGTCATGTTTTCAAAACAGGGGTTACAGGATGTAAAGTCCCTTATTTCATGCATCGGAAGTTTCTTTGTTTCTGTCAAGGACAAGGATCAAGTAACCGAGACTTCTTCATTCTGTTCAGGTACTTCATGTCTCTATCTGTAAACGGCTTGATAGGGTTAGATTGCTGAGCATAATACATTCAAACGTCCATTTAGGTGTGTTCTAGGGGTATCGGTGGACCACAATAGTGGCCGAATTACATCCTACATTAAGGGGACATGTGTTGGATGTTGTTCTGTAATAGAATGTATAAGGAACACAACTTTTTATAATACAGAAGTTTATGATAATCCCATCTTTGTGTGTATCACTTCTAAATGTCATGGCTTTACATTTGACAACGTTAGGTAATTTTTCAAGTGTTTTGTCTGATTCCCGTAATGTACAGCCACTTAACGTACAGTCTGTTGAGGTCCAAACCTTGTATTAAACTGAAATAAATCTAATTTCTCTGTTTCATTTAGGTCGTAGGGTAAGCCAGTTGAAAAGTGTTCTTTCATCACATCGAAGGCAATATTTTGATTCCCATATTGGATCAAGGCCATTTTTGAGTCCTGGGCGTGATGATTGATACAAAAATTACTTTAAAAATGTCCCTCTTCTATAACAGTAGTAAGTGAGTGAGTGAGTGAATAGGGTTTTACGCCGATTTTAGCCATATTCCAGGAATATCACGGCGGGGGGCACACGGAAATAGACTTCACACATTGTACCCATGTGGGGGAATCGAACCCTGGTCTTCGGCGTGACGAGCGAACGCTTTAACTACTAGGCTACCCCACCGCCCCTCTATTCTGTTAGAAGTGGCTACACGTGTGAATTTAGCAAGAGTGAACCAGTGTGCTGTTTCTTAGTGGCAAGATCGGTTTGGCCAAACCAGTAGTAGAAAGCATAAGCATCAAGTTATTCAAGCTCAGCCAGGTTTTTACATGTTGTTACCCATCTTAATTGTAGGCCCATACGACATAAGGGTAATGGGACGACACCAGTCTTGTAACGATATGATTAATAATGCGATGTACTCGGACCTGTGAAGCAGTAGCGAGCAAAAAAATATAATGGTAGTTGATGTGAGACTCATTCTGCTCGGTAGTAATGGAGTGGCAGCAACCTTGCTTAGTTGTTAAATGTTGACCCGTGAAGATCCGGGTTAGAATTGTTCTTCGGCAACCCATGCTTGTTGTAAGATGCGACTAACGGGGTCGGTAAATAATCGAGCCTGGACCAGACAACCCAGTGATCATCATTATGAGCATCGATCTGCGCAATTAGGATACAATGACATGTGTGAACCAAGTAAGCGAGCCTGACCCCCCGATTCCGTGTGTCGCCTCTTACGACAAGCAGGGGTTGCTGAAGACCAATTCTAACCCGGATGTTTACGGGTATTTTGTATAATGAAAACCCGGGATAAGTCTGAACTATTCATCCCTCCACGTGCCTATTTATGGCAACGCAGAGTCTGTTTAGGTTAAGGACGCAACGGTATCAGAAGATGTTGTAGTAATTCAATATTCCATGGTTTGGTTCTTGTACAGGTCGTGAGCTATGGCTTGAATCTACTATTGCACAACTTCGGGACCAAAAATTAAAACTGGCGAAGGTAATGTATATTTGTATATATTTTTTAACTTTAAACAATAATAAGAAAAAACCGTCGCCCTACATGAACAAACGAACGATGTGACCGGCCATCGTTTTGTGTCTCGTTTGCCAGTCATAAACATGCAGTGTGTGAAGTAGCTTTCAAATTTTGCTCGCCAGTCGGGCTAGCTATGCCTGGAAGTTACTAGCCCACCAAATAATTCACTAGCCCGAAATTTCAATGTAGAAACTAAGCAAAGATTACACAACGGTAAGCTGCTAATATGATGAACATTTTGATCAGGCCATAATCTTGCATGATTTAAAAGTGTACTATAACTTAACAAGTTACATAACAATATGTCAAGACATATTTACAAAATGACCTCATGAAATTTGACTAGCCAGTCTGGCTAGTGACTGTGGAGATTTACCGGCCCGGATGGATTTTTACTAGCCACGGGCTAGCGGGCCAGTGGCTATTTCGCACACTGATTAACGTGTATCAGTCACCAAAGTGTATATTATTATCCACTATCCTAACTGATATGAAACAGTATTATGAACTGGTGACACATTCCATTCAGTTATCCACATGTATCATGTACCCGTTATGTACCCATGTATCAGTCGCTCTCGTGCATCACTCACCCACATGTATCAGTTGCCCACACGCATCAGTCACATGTATCAGTCATCCACATGTATCATGTACCCATGTATCAGTTGCTCTCGTGCATCACTCACCCACATGTATCAGTCATCCACGTGCGTCAGTCACATGTATCAGTCATCCACATGTATCATGTACCCATGTATCAGTTGCTCTCGTGCATCACTCACCCACATGTATCAGTCATCCACGTGCGTCAGTCACATGTATCAGTCATCCACATGTATCATGTACCCATGTATCAGTTGCTCTCGTGCATCACTCACCCACATGTATCAGTCATCCACGTGCATCAGTCCCCCATCGGTCCTTCACTGCCATGTCCAGAATCATACTCTCACATCCAATTGCTGCTATAATCGATCGCTCCAGTAAATTCATCAGTAAAATCACTGACCGAAGACTTCACTTCATCGAATGCATTCTGTTAATGGTTGAAAACAGTAATTGTTATGTTCCAACATTTGTCTCCAGGAAGTCAGTGAACTGAAGAATATGTCCCAAAGCGGTGTCCACGTTGTCAATGACCTCCACGAAGAAGTAGCCAGACTCAAGGCATTCGTGGTTCAGATGGATCCAGAAGGTGAGTTTATGAGAATGTTCTTCGCTGTGTGGGGAGCAATTACTGTGACAAGTTTATAAAGCAACTGCTCGATTTAATTTAAAAAATGGTCGTTAGGTCCGTGACGGCTTCTGTGTTGTTTGTTTGCTGTCTATTGCCCCATACAGCAATAACCCAGCTATATGGCGGCGTTCTATTGTTAATCGAGTGTGGACCAAACCATCCAGTGGTCAACAGCAAGAGCATTGATCTTGGCAATTTCAATACGATGACATGTGTCAACCAAGTCAACGAGCCTGACCTCCCGATCCAGTTACTCGCCTTTTTTGACAAGCATGGGTTGCTGAAGACCAATTCTAACCTGGATCTTCATGGATCGACGGCTACTGTTGAATCGTAACTACCCTAAGCGGGCAAGGGGAGGGCCGACGCGGCGCAACTCCAGGAATGTTTTACGTTGGAAAGCAAGTGTATCAGTCCTGTGCATGGAAAGTTGCTAAAATAGGTCACCACCATAGGTGTCCACATGCTTATTTGAGAATCTTTAGATTACCAGAAAGCAAGTATCCCATTATTTATTGTATTAGCGTCAGTCATTCCAGCTGCCAATAGATATTTTTTCTAATTCCCTTCTGTCCTTGTGTTTTACGGTCGAGTCCAATGGGCAATGTAGGGGTGGGGGAAGCGGGGGATTGAATGTGTTCCTGGCTTGTCAGTTTTTTATTTGAATAAAAATAGACCTGCTCCCGCGGCTCGAATCGGACATCAATTTTAAACTGCAACATGACAGTTCATTGGTCAAGCACGATAACACCGGCATAAATCTGGACTTAGAACGAGGCGATGGGGGCCTAGTGGTTAAAGCGTTCGCTCGCCACGGTTCCATTCGCCATTTTCTTGTGTACCTCGCCCAAATCTGGTGACATTGATGCAATAGTGCTAAAATCGGTGCAAAACTAAACTCGCTCAATGGACTTGTTGAGCCAGCCAGCAATCAATAATAAGTGAGAGAATGTTGAACGCAACGTTGTAGCTCGCACCTTCTCAGCCAGTGTCTGAAACAGAGATGCCAATTAAGACCAACATACTTTTGAAGCTGCAGTTCCTGCCTAAACTCTTCATGATCCCTTTTAAAATAGACCTGCACTCCGCTGCTGCACTTTAATCGGCACGCACATTATTTGCATGCTTTAAGGACACATACAAATTTGAAACAACAGGTTTAACACAAAATTTACCTGACATGGGCAGGCGCTTAATATGTTAACACTGACCTCCCATCCGGATTACACTTACACAATACCCGTGAAGATCAAGGTTATAATTGGTCTTCAGTAACCCATGCTTGTCGTATAGGGGCGACTGACGGGATCGGGTGAACAACCTCGCTGACTTGCGTAGATCGATGCTCATGCTGTTGATCACGGGGCTGTTTGGTCCAGACTCGATATGAACAGACCGCCGTCATATAGCTGGAATATTGCTGAGTGTGGCGTAAAACGACCAACCAACCAACTACCCTTGCACAAAGTTTATTACCCTCTACTGGATGCATTTCAGGAGGTACCCGGGGTATGTTTCTTCATGCTGTCAGAAGACTCCAGGACGTTCGAATCGTGAAATGTAAGTACTTCGGAACAAATTGAAAAGGTCAGTGTCAGATAGAGAGTCTGAATTCCTTAACCCCAGAGATAGTGGATCTCTGCACTTTCAAAAGGGCTCTAAAGACCTACCTGTGTAATCGGTTTTACAACACAGCCTAATCTTGCCCCCAATTACAAACTTTGTAAATACCAGAGGACTTTTGTTAGCGCTATGAGTAATCAACTATAATGGAGTTTAGCGCATTATAAATGCACTATTATTATTATCATTATAATTATTTTCTTTCCATCCGACAATCTCAGGTGTCCGTATTTCTCAATACGCGATGTTTTGACTAATTTCAGCCCCAAAATGCCATCAGATATCACGAATACTACTTTTATCACAGTGTGAAAACTGTGAAGTTTTCAGTATTTATTTGTCATTACCTGTCAGAACATTGAAGAATACTGTACATGTTACATTAAAGCATATGGAATATCAAAATATGTCGGTCATTCTACATGACATGATGTTTTTGAGTATTAAATTTATAATTAAATTTTTGAGTATTTGTTGTTTAACACCGCTCTCAGCAATAATCAAGCTATATGGCGACGGTCTGAAAAGGATCGAGTCTGGACCAGACTAGTGATCAAAATCATGAGCATCGATCAACGCAATTGGGATACGATGACATGCGTGAACCAAATCAGCGATCCCGTCAGTCGCCTCTTTGGAGCATGGACGGGTTGCTGAAGAGCAATTTCAGAATGAATGAGTCAAAGCGAACGGAGTATTTCAGTAAATGATTAAAATGGATTCGAAATCATTGGTCAAGTTATTGCCTCTGTGGTCTTGTGGATAGTGTGTCTGCCAGAGAGCACAAGGCCGGTGCTTCGATCTCAGAAAAGATGTTGAAAGAAAATGGAACTTTTTTGTTTCCCTGTCTGGCCCTCTGCATTACGGTTTATATGACAGTGGGTCAGTTTACCGCGTCTGAGTGAGGGATCATTGTTGAAAAACTGACATACTGGTCAAACAGCGATAAAGTTTGCCGTGTACGTCGTACCCCAACGGCGTGGATCGATGCTCACAATATTGATCTCTCGATCGTCATATAGCTGTAATATTGCTGAGTGCAACCTTAATCAATATCCAAACTGAGTAAATCTGTTAATGATGCAGGTCCTAAGATGATGCTGGACGCTGAAAAAGCATCCACGAACTGGGTGCACATAAATGACAAAGGTATCCTCGTAAACGAGATGAAACCAGGACATCCATCTTATTACTCGAAGAGGAAGAGCTTCAAGAACTACTGCGGCACCTGCAGCACGTTCCCACTGCCCTCTAGCGGGCTGGTGTACTGGGAGGTGGAGGCGGAACTGGACAAGCCTGTGTTTTGGAGTAGCCTCGTTCTGGAGGTCGGGGTGTGTGGGGAGGAAGTGATGGACAATGATTACTTCGTCGGCAAACAAACCAACTCGTGCTGCCTCTTGTTGGCTCGCAATGAGTTTGACAACGAATCTGTTTTAAAAATAATGCAGAACGGTGAGCTGGTTGATATGCGATACCGGCACGCCAGTAAGGGCGGTGTGGTTGTGAGGGTGATGTATGGAATCTTGGTCAATATGGACAGAAAATGTGTTAACTTCATCGACATCTTCAGCCAAGAAATGTTGGCATGTGGACATCTTGTCAACTTGAAGCACAATTCGAGGGTGTGGCCTGTGTTCGGAGTTTTTTCCGGCTACACTAAGGTGGCCATACGGCTTGTTAGTGGCGGTGATGTGCAGATGGAGGGCTGGAAAAAGAATCTGATTTGCCAGTCGCAGTCCCACTTGTAACTGAATATATCTCTTGCGATCACCCATCGTCGATAAACCAAGAGATTGTGTACACTAGTGTCGTCCTCACGTGAATACTTACAGCAGTGGACTAGTTGTCTAAGGCGCAGAAATTAGCTGGGCAGAGTTGTATGGCCTTGGGCACGGAAGTAACCTATGATCGTTGGGTCGAATCAACCCACCCTATTATGTTCCTAGGTCTGTGTCAGGACAATAGCTATCTCAGTCTCACTGGAATTAGCCTTTTCTTTCATTCTTTGGTTACAAAATATAAAAGCAATGCATTGTGTTTATTCAAGGGTGATGGCGGCCATAGTGTATACAAGCCTGTGAAGCAATGATATTACCCTGGGCCCACTAGCCCAAAGCAAACTTAACGCTGAGGCTATCGTAAGCCTATGTTAAAGTATGGGTGTTCTGATCACCGTAGCGCTAAGATAGCTCAGACAACGGACCCTTGGCGTCGTTCCACAAAGTAGTGCTAAGACAGTTAGTCGACGTAAAGATATGGGAGTTGCGACCACCTTAGCGCTACGATAGCTCAGACAACGGACCCTTGGCGTCGTTCCACAAAGTAGTGCTAAGACAGTTAGTCGACGTAAAGGTATTGGAGTTACGATCACCTTAGCGCTAAGATAGCTCAGACAACGGACCCTTGGCGTCGTTCCACAAAGTAGAGCGAAGACAGCGCTGTTTCATGATTTTCATTTCGATAGAACATTCTTCTTTTTAAATCTTCAATTTTGAAAGGCATTAAAATCAGGGCCCCGTTCCGTAAAACGATCGTTGCTACGATAATCGTAAGTATGGGAGTTACGACCACCTTAGCGCTTTTTGAACGGGGTACTGATCTTTGGCGCCCATGTCATAACTCTATGTGTAAAGACCTGAAATCATCATTTGTGCATATCGCATCAGGTAGACGTTCGAATCCGTCAGCGTCAAGGCTTCTACATACTTGGTTACTGTGGAGTGTGTATTTGTATTTGTGTAACGTTCTGTAGTAGAGACGGACATTTGGAACTGGAATGATGTCATCTGATGGCCACATCTTTCAGAATTTAATGAGTTCAGTTTTACGCCGCTTTTAGCAAATATTCCAGCAATATCACGGCGGGGACAAAAAATAACCTTCACACATTGTACCCATGTGGAAATCGAACTCTTTGGCAAGACCAGCGAACGCTTTAACCACTTGGCTACCCCACCGCCCGAGCAGTAGAGGTAGGGCGATTGATTCTTTTATACAGTTGGGCGTATCGACCATTTGATATCCGCTGGTGGAGGACTTGCGTTTGAACAGAAAATGATACTTTTGCCACAGGTCTCTTCCAACAGAAATCATGAACTTTTTGGATCCTCTCATAAAAACAAATGTTTGTCTTATGAAAGTGGATTTCTTCTTAAAACACACATTTGTATTGGTTATGGAGACAGTGTTGTGGCTTATATTTTGAGTTTATTTAAATGTGGGGTTTGCTCGGGTAAAGTGATCGATCGTTATGCTGTAGACTCGAGTTCTATTCCGATCATGGATGCAGCGTAAGATCTGTTCTTGGCCTCATTTGCATGTTTGGCGTGACATCTTCATCGGAACCAAGATCAGTTTAACACAACAGCCTATTGGTAGGCTTGCGATGCCACAATGATGTAGCCATATGGGCTTCTGACTGAGATCGGTTTGTGTGGACCGATTCAGTACCCCTGTTTAACGGGTCCGGATACATTTTGAACAGATGTTTTTTTAGGAGCTTTTTGGTTTACTTTTACTTAATGTTAATAGGGTGTTTTATTTCAGTTGTCCCCCTGGTGGGCTGTTGGAGAAGGAGTGCGCCAATGAGTGGGCCTCTAAATTTGGTTACAACCAGGCGTTGTTTTAGGCGGGGTTTTATTTTTCCACAAATATGTACCGGTATATTTTCTATAGGGAGTTTTATCCACCCATAACCACTGATTCACATGATAATGTGTATAATTATGTGGAATATTTCAAAAACGGAGTAAACTTCTACTTGCCTTTGGAGAATGCCAAAGACCTGGAGAAGACCTGGCCCCGGGGATCATGAAAGTGTCTTAAGTCTGAAAATTGCTTAGCACGAAACTTGTCCTTAGTCTACGCAGGACTTTCTCAAAGATCCGGGGCCCTTATTCTCGAAACGTTCGTAGCCCAAAGAATTCTTTCGTCGTAGCCAGTGTGTTAAGAATGGGCTTACGAAGTTCGTAGGGCTACGAACATTTCGAGAATAGCTAGCCAGCTTCGTGATCCCCAGTTTAAGACACAATTTATTCTTAAGTCTACACTTTAAGAATTAAGACAAAATATGGACTTAAGACACTTGCATGATCCTGGGGCCTGAACTGTGCTGTTGTATTTTCTGTTATATATTGTTTTGATATGAATACTGTTCATATTGACGTAGAAGCAACATGACCACGTTTGTCATGTTTGTATCTGCAATGTTGCTGTCAATAAACGCAGCTTCAGCAAGATTTTTTCTGTGTCTGTATTGTCGTGACAAGTTGTATACTTAATATAATGAGCTATATTGGAATGAGTGAGTGAGTATGGTTTTACGCCGCTTTAAGTAATGTTCCAGCAATATCACAGCAGCGCCACCTAAAATGGACTCACACATTGTGCCCATGTTGGGAATCGAACCCGTGTCTTCGGCGTGACGAGTGAATGCTTTAACCACTAGGCTACCCCACCGCAATATGTCATGATGTTGCTAATACAGTCGTGCTTGAAGTGAGTATGGGTTTACGCCGCTTTTAGCAATATTCCAGCAATATCACGGCAGGGGACACCAGAAATGGGCTTCACACATTGTACCCATGTTGGGAATCGAACCCGGGTTTTCGGCGTGACGTGGGGATGCATTAACTACTATGCTACCACACCGTATCTCATGCTTGGAGATGTCATGAGGACTGACTTATCAGAAAGTACGGTTTATACAACAGTTTTATCAGTTGAGTTTAATGAGTATGGTTTTAGCAATATTTCAGCAATATCACGGCTGGGGCACCATAAATGGGCTTCACACATTGTACCACAAGGCTAACCCGTTGTCCCATCATCAGCTGAGGAAGGGTTTCATGAGGACACGGCGATTACATCTGACAACTGATGGACGAACCGTCTAGAATAAGTCCCAAGCAGTCTGGTATGTCCACGTAAGAAGCTACTAATGTGGATCGGGTGGCCAGTCTCTGTGTACCCCTACAGCAATAAACATTGATCATCCCCGCGACAGTGTGGATACCACGTGAACGCTTGTTTACCTGTTTGTTTGTTTTTTGTTTAACGCTGCACTCAGCCCAGTCAAACAATCCAGTTATTTGCATTATGTAGGCATCAATCTACGCAACGGGCATATGATGACGTGCACTAGCCGAGTAGAAAAAATGGCCACACGATCCCGTTAGTCGCCTCTTATGACAAGCACGAGTAGCTGAAGACCAATTCTTGACCTTCAGTATCCAGTATTAGACGACAACATTCGGACATTCCCACTAACGCCTACGCAGCGTTAGTAATATACCCCTCAGTTATCTGGATGATTATTTTATCAACAAACAGCGGGGCTGCATGTGAGGGTGAGGTGAAATTGGGTTTAACGTCGTGCTTGAGAATATTTCGCTCATATGACGACGTGCATGCGTTTGTATGTGTATGTGCGGCTGCTTGTACTAGCCCAGACTTCAGCTGGTTTTATAGTGCTAGCCCACTGAGATACCATGCCGAAGTGAAGCATGAATACCCCACTTAGACACATTATACTGACTCCGAGCCGACCAGTCCTTGTTGTACCCATTAATGCCGAGCGCCAGGCAGGGACCAACAAGTACCATATTTTAACGTCTTTTGGTATGACGCGGTCGGGGATCGAACCCGCGACCTTCCGCTCTCCGGGCGGACGCTCTAACCACTACACCACTGCATGTGAGGGATGTTGTGCAGGGTGCAGGGTGAGGCTCACTTACTCTAATCGGCGTTAAACAGAAGTATTCTGCTAGAAATTGACATTAACACAGCATTCTATACATTTCTAGTTGGTGTACAAAATCAATCACTAATACGAAAACATAAACAAAAAAGGAAAGAAAACAAACAAACAAAAAAGAAACATCACAAAAACATTTCCTCAACAACCGTACAACGTGTGAAGCCCATTTTTGGTTTTCCCCGTCGTGATATTGCTCTAATTGCTACAAGCGGCGTAAAACAACTCACTCACTCACACAACAACCGACTCTCAACCGAAGCGATACAGTATTAAAAATATCCGCCAATGTTTGAAATTAACAAATAAACAGTTTAGGAATCTTTTGAAATGAAAATATCCTGCAAATACACTAGCCACATAAAGAAACTGTGCATTGTCAAAATATTATCCCAGTTGATAAGTACGATAACGATGTCAAAGGTAAATATAAACTGTAATGGAGGGATCATGAGACCATACCAAGTCGGGAGAATTTCAATTGAAAAATCAATCACAATGACGTCACGAGTCCACAAGCGGGACAGGGGTCAAACGACCATGTCACAAGCTCAATAACGGGTATGTCCACCAACGGCATTGAGAACAGCAGTGCATCGACGACGCATAGAGCCTATCAAACGTGCATGGAAGGCTTGTGGGATGTCACGCCAGATTCTCTCAAGTTCTGTTGCAAGGTCAAGGACGTTATCTGGCGGATGAGGAAGACGGCGTAGACGTCGATCCATCTCGTCCCAAACATGCTCTATCGGGGAGAGATCCGGTGAATTTGCAGGCCAAGGCAGTAAGTCAACGTTGTGGTGTTGCAAGAAATCCATAGCAACCCTTGCCGTATGAGGGCGGGCATTGTCCTGCTGGAATGTTAACCCAGGGCCATGACGTTGCAGAAAAGGAATTGCCACAGGTCGAAGAATCTGATCCCTGTAGCCCACACCAGTTAAGTTGCCCTGAACAATCACCAAAGGAGTTCTTTGGCGTGCTGTTATTCCACCCCAAATCATCACGGAATCACCACCAAAGCGATTCCTCTCCAAGACACAGGCCTGTGCATAACGTTCTCCCACGCGTCTATAGGCACGTTGACGTCCATCACTATGGGAAATGTTAAACCTGAACTCATCTGTAAAAACAACATTTCTCCACCAAAACAAGGGTCTGCGGACATGATTTCGGCACCACATTCGGCGAGCTTGTCGATGACGTTGTGTCAGGATACGTCGTATGGCGGGACGTCGTGGTCTGATTCCGTGATGACGTAAACGTTGTCGAACTGTGTTGGGGTGGATACGGCGAAGTCCTGGGATGGTTCGGGCAGTCATCACTGCAGTCTGAAACCTGTGGCGAAGATGGGTCACCCTTATCCATATGTCCTGTCTTGGCGTTGTTACACGTGGACGTCCAGAACGTGGCCGATCGATGACGTCATTTCTGTTCTGGTAGCGTCTCACCAGTGCAGAAATGGTGTTCCGGTGGTGTTGACGTTGTGCAGACGTGAGCCTTGGCATGCTATGCGTTTCAATAGCCGTTTAATTTTTTGAACGATCGCAAGGGCAGGGGTCAGCTTTCCAAAGTGACAGTATTGTGTTGCATTCATTTGCTCTGTTTCTCTTTACCGGAATGCACGTGCAACAACGTATTGCACGTCTCAAGGACGAACCCACTGACGTCACGGAACGTGGCACGTGCATGCATGTTGGATACATGTCACTAATCTCTGAGTTTAAATCCTTATGTGTCTACACTGGTTGATAAATTTAGATTTTAAATTTTTAATGCACAGTTTCTTTATGTGCCTAGTATAGTATATACTTCAAATGAAGCGCCTCGACTTAAGCTAACCGAAGCGAATGGAGATCTGGGCCTCTTTTCACAAAGCACTAAGGTGATTGTAAGTCACTAACGTAACATTCCTGCAATGTTAAAGAATGGGAGTTAAGGTTAACCTTAGTAAAGGTTGCTTCATGAAAGGAGTCCCTGATCCCTAAAGCCCTTAAATCACTCCAAGGATTGATTCATACATTGTGAGCCTTACACACTATGAATCGCCGAACAGTGAAATGTTTTCGTTGTTGCGTAATGTCATAGTCAGTTTTTGTGGGGTAACAGGTTTGCTCAGACAAGTCAGTAAAGTGAGCAGAGACACGGGGAAACTCGACTAACCTGAATAACGTCCGGTGATCAAGGCCTTGCAGGAAAGGCCTCACACTATAAGCCATCTATTAAGACGTGATCCTTCGCAGGGAAGGGTATCCCTTCCTATATCACCATAAAGAGAAGGGCAGCAAAATATAAGCTGCCCTAGTCTGTATCTTACACCCATTGATTGGTGTTGCGTGCGTATTGAGCGGTGATCGTACTAAGGGAGGTAACTCTCAGCTGGTATTATCAACATAACTTTTGTGAGGCTGTTCCACTGTGACTGGACATACATCTCTAAGGTAATAATTATAGTTTAAATGATAAATTCTGAAAAATATAAATAACAGACTGGCGTCCGTAGACTTGCCTCTTAAAAGGATACACAGTGTTTGCCCTTAAATCCTCAAAACCTGCAGGCCCGAAGGACCCAGAACCATAACATATTGTGGGTCCTGATCAGAATGTGTAGGCCCTATATTTTAAAATGGAAATAATACTCTTAGTTATTGGGGATGAAAAAGCTGTCGGCCTGCAGAAAACAAAAGCTGTGGGTCCGAGTGGTTTTAAGCGCAAATGAGGCGGCTTAGGGCCGAAGGGCCGACGTTAATTTCGAACGCTGAGGTTACAATTACCATTCAGCACAGCCTTGGAGCATGGTATCACATTGACAAGCATATACATTGTACTGGCAGCCGGCTATTGAATGGAACACTTGGCACGCGAAGTATTACATTTATTGAACACTGGGGAGTATTGAAGTCAAATCGATGTTATGCTGGTATTGTTACATGTTATTACCTGAGGTACCTCCAGTGTTAAGTCTACTTTTACTTTCAATTCGAGGAAATGAAATCAAAACTAGATAGGCTTCCTCGAAGTGTAGATGACAAATACATTAGGAAGGACCTTTGTTTGCTTGACAACCGCTGATCATAGATTTCTTTCTGCATAACGGTACTACATGTAGTAACACACGGGTAAGTTTGATCATGATCTTATATCCAGTGATTAATATTGTCCTTGTATATATACCGTTAAAGTGTGTTAAGAAAGTTCTTTGGAGGTGTCATGTGTCAAACGTATTGGGCTAACCTTGTGACAGGCGAGTGGAGACACGATTTGTTACTGATAATAACTTTCTTCTTTTTTTCGACCAAAGTAATGAAATAGTTATGATCAATAACTCTGTCTAAGCTTATAAGTGAATGAGTGAGTTTGGTTTTACGTCGCTTTTAGCAATATCACGGTGGGGGACACCAGAAATGGGCTTCACTCATCGTACCAATGTTGGGAATGATCCGAATCGAACCCGGGTCTTCGACTTGACGAGCAGACGCTTTAACC